CTGACTACAGTGGGGTTTGAACCTGTGACACCCTGATCCGAACACCAACACAGAACCCACTGCACCACACGCCTCCCTTGGATCAATGCAGGCTGATAAGAAAAGACAAGCGTTCAAATTACTTGGAGAGCATAACACTGATGTGATACACAAACCCCGCATCTCTTAGTACACTTTTGAGGATTTCATGAAACTCGTGCCTTTTTTAAAATTGTTTATCCGTGTCATATTGGCAGGAGAGCAGCAAAATGGGATCCACAAACCTTTAACTGAAAATAGCCAAGAGAGCTGGCAAGTTACAGTTAGTAAATGTCTTAATCCATCAGTGAGACCTCTTTTAAACTCTGAATTCACCTGTGCTTCCATAGATACATACACACACAAAGGCAGGGACTCAAAGCGGGCAGATCGAATCACAAAGACTAGTATATTTTTCCATTTAAGGGTTATTGTGTTGTCTGCCTGCGAGATGAAAGCTATATAAAAGGTTCTTCTTTAGCTCTGTCTGGATTAAGAGCTGCATGGTGTGACAATCCACTGTATTGTTTGTTAGGAAAAAGGGTCCCTCAATTTTTGCAGTGACTCGATCAACTGCTTTGTGGACTGTCTAAGACAAGGCAGTTGAAACCAGAGGTGGAGTTGCCAGTTTTTACATTTGAAATCTATACTGTTATTACCTATTTATCTATTACAGCAATGCAGTCAAATTGAAAAATAATCATATTAGGCTGAACAGGCCGGAGCCTTACAGCTAACTGTGACAACCCTGTGGTTGTCCATCAGGTGGTGCTGCTGTAACCTGTGTGTTTCTTGTAATCAGCAGTGATGGGACTCACCTTTGGAACTTGATTCCAGGATATAAGAGGGCTGCAGAACAGGCTCTCGCTCTCTCTCAGCTGCCCTGCTCGGTGCAGCAGGACACCGCTCTTCTGTTTGTTTTATTGTTGGTTGTCGACACTGTTAGTTAAAATAAATGATTGTTTTGGGCAACTCCTGTGTGGAACTGTTGTCCTTATGTTACAAGCAGAGCCAGCTTGATGATTATTAGCAGAGCGGAAACAGCTGTAAAGAATATACTTTAATGTCCACAGACTAAGATGTGCTCAGGTCCAAAAGGTGGCAATGATAGCAAACAATGCCTCCCTATTGCAAGGGATCTGACTCTTGGTAAAAGGCCTCTGTCTCTGGTCTAAAGCCACATTTGGGCCTAATACCTTAAAAGCATGTCTGACATTCACCTGGGTGTTTGAGGATTTTAAAAACAGTGTATGGACCTCAGAGTTTATCTTAGGTCTTTGTGAGCAGAATTGCCCTTTCTATCAGTGGAGAAAAATGAGAGAAATACAGATGCCCAGTATGATGGTTATAAAATAATACATTGATGTATCACTTTTGCAACAAGTAAAATACTGGACGTGTGACATAGTTAACAAGGACGCGTGCTTGTGGTGTTGAACATCACCAATACAAGTAGTGATAATATATTGATGACGCTTAGATCAGTGAGTGGCACTTAAACATACAGTAGCTCTGTTATGACTGAAAGTACACACAGTTGTCTCCTATTCTCAGTAGGCTACATGTAGTATAATATATTGTCCTTTTGTTGATTAAAACTTGCACCACATTGTTACTCGAGTCTAGTGGTTAATGTAAAATAAAAAACGTTTTGAAATATACTAAGTGATCTGATACATAGTAGTATACCTTTTTATAAGCATACATTTTTCGTTCTCTAAATGTTGGTCTTGTCAACGATTTTTAAGTTGTTTTTGTTTTTATTTTAAATTTTCAACCGCCATATGTGCCATGTGAAATTTGTAGGAAAATGATACTATGTCATTGTCCATACATTTTAGATAGATGATTGGATCATCTCAAATCAATTTTATGGTAATCTTACTATCATGCTTTTTTTTTGTCTGAGGGCAATTTATTTTTCTCCCTTTTCCTTGCAAGTCTTCCAGGTAAACCCTGAATAGCTTGGGGCTAGAATATAACTTTTCCACACAGTATGTGATAGCCTGTGCCAAGGTAACGTGGTTGCAGAAGGGACATCACAACATCAGGCCATGCTGAGAGGAGATGTTGCATTTGCTTGTGTAAACTGAAAAGTCCACTGTGTATTAATTCTTTAAACCATCCATGGCAAACAGTTTGATTCCTCAGCTGTAATATACTGGGTCGCCCCAATTTTAGCCTTGGAGGCGACCAGTATTTCATCTACAGCCAGGTTTCTGTGAGAGGATGATAAAACAACTTGCATGCCTTTATTGATTGTGTCGATTATGGCTTTCAGTCAGATGGTTTGTCATGGTGGGCTACGCCATTTTTTGAGTGCGACCAGCAGCTCTATTGGTTGCGCTGTTGGTCTTTCAATGGATTAGGGCTAGGAGGCATGAAGTATTGAGGTCAATAGTTACCCTACGCTCAAGTCAGCCGTTTGGACTTCCTTCCATGTGATATCTGCTTAGCTGCCTGCAGGGGCAGATGGTAATGGAAGCAAGGGAGGACTAAGCCTTCACTAAGTTATTGGGCCTTATATTAAAGGGTTGCTATGTGATTATTCACACTCAGATGCAAATTGACCCGTCACACGTTTAAATTGTTTTAAAAATGTTAATCAGAAACATATGAGGTCCACTTTGTACACCAGTTCCAGGTCAGTCACATTGGGCCATATCTGGGCAGGATATAAGTCTTTCAACAAATTGTTTTTATCACGCAGTGTTCTTGGACAATAGACTGCGTGAGAAAAAGGGGCCCAGGTCTTTGAAAGATTCAGCAGACTCATAACATTTAGGGGAGAACATTATACTGTTGTGGCCATTGGGGATTGGTTTAAAGAGACTGTCAGGAGTTTCAAAAGCACTTTGGGGATTTGCTGCATTTTGCGCCCAGCTTCAAAGTCTTGATGTGGCATTCCTTTCCAAAGCATATCATTTTCTTTCACACATGAACAGAAGGCGACTCACACTACAAATCCAAGTCTACATTTAATAATTTCTAATATAATTATTTAAGGAGGAGAGAATACTTTGTAGCCAAGCAGCACATATTTAATTTTCACTGACTGAAAATATCTATGATAATCATCTTGAAACAAATCCTTACTTTTCTTCTTCTAATTTTATTTGTAATCAGTTCCATTTCAATCACTCTTTAACTTATTTTTTTCAGTCTTTTCTCATGGCATTTAAAATGAACATGTGTTTCATCCAGACAATCATAGTCTTATTGAGCCTACCAGATAGAATCACAGCTTTCTGTGTTTATTTGTTGTCATCCTATGTCTTGTCTGAATAGGTAAGTGTGCAATATATCTGCAGTAAACATGCATTTCATCAGTCCATCAACAAAAGCAAGGACAAGACATGGGGAATAGCTGCTTGTGTGTGCTGAGAGTGCTGATGGAATTCAATTTTCTATCCAATCATGAGACACCTCAAATAGAAAGTCAGAGCAGTGGAGCTGGTCATGATGGGAGAGAGCCATGGATGGGAAACGAGGGTTTCAGATGGATTCCACCCGAGAGAGGGATGCAACAAAATGGAAGAATTAAGTATGACAGGGGGGTGGGGGATAAGGAGAATAGGAGTAGAGAGTGAAAACAGGAGAGATGAGCAGGAGCTGAACAGGATGAGGGATAATGCAGAACTGAGAGAGGGGAAAGACTGCGACTGAGAAGCTGAGATGAAATGAGCCAATCAAAATGAAAAAGGTGACAAGATACTGTCGCTCGACAGTGACAATAAAGGGGCATTGATTGAAGGTGTGCATGTGCATTTGCACGTGAAGGTGCAAGGTTAAAAGGGTCGTGGAACCACTTCAAAATGGTTATTTTGCTTCATATTGGGGTAAATGGGAAATACTTGTCAGTAATAACCCTGTGTGTGTGTGTGTGTGTGTGTGTGTGTGTGTGTGTGTGTGTGTGTGTGTGTGTGTGTGTGTGTGTGTGTGTGTGTGTGTGTGTAATAATGGGAAATGCCTGTCAGTGATGGCTCTGCATTAGGAGTGTAAGGTCCCCATGGATTGAAAGAAAATGGAGCCTAAATGACAAAATTGCAGTATGGAATTTAACCCCATAACATCTGGTCTAAATCATCCCAAACTGCGCCATGTGAGGCTTCACATACCCAACAGAAACACATACAAACTCTGGTTAGTATTAAAGTTCCAGCTGTTCTTTAAACATTTAAAGCCACTGACTAATTGAGTTCTAGCTATTATTTGAAGGTTACATCGTCCACTATGGCTTCATTTGATTAAGACCCTGATTGGCACATATTCATAAAAACTTTTTTAAGTGTACCACTTTAGTCCAGGTGGAAATAATTCAAATGCTATTAAATGGATTGGCACAACATTTATCCCCAGATCCAAAATACTGACACTGACTTGTTGATCCCCTGACATTTTATGGTTTTACTTTTATGATTTTTAATGAAATGTCTCAACAACAATTGGATGGATTACCATGAAATGTGGTACACACATGAATGTCTGTACATCTCTTTTGGTGGACCTTGTAGCTTTGTCAAGCATTTCAACACTTAAAAAAAAAGGTAAAACAAATACTCGACCAAACAAATCATGTTTTTGTTCACATTTGACTATTATTGATTAATCTTGATATCTGCTAATCCTGTTTTAGTGCCAGTTATGAGTTCAATGTCTAATTTTAGTATGTTGAATACAATCACTTCTACAGTATGATTTGGGTGTAAAACAAGGCCCACAGGCCGGTGACGGTATATTGTACAGGGACAGGATCAGTGGATAAATAACCACGCAGAGAAAGCAGGTTTAGCATTGATGTTTTACTAGAAAAGAACCCAAATGGAAGGACAAGAAACAAATGAAGAAAGAAACAGTGTTAAAGCCAGAGTGTGGACAGACTAGCAGTCTGCTTTTGCTGTCGACGCATGAAATCTTATGTGCTGGAGGTGGCAAAGAAATAAACACAACAGTATGTACAGTCTGCTTGGTGCGGTGATAACTCCTTGTTAAATGTCTCTTCACAAATGTATCGTCTGGATAACTATTTCCTTTTTCCTCTCAAGTTTGATTGCTGCAGTGCTGCTGTACTGATCCCCGGGCAGAGTAGAGGTTATTAGAAACTGTCTAACTATCTTTTCTGCCAGAAGCTTGTGGTTTTAAGATAGTATTTTCAACGTTTTCTTTTGTGTTTTACATTGGATATAGGATTCATGTCCAGTGTAAGTAAAACAAAACATGTGTGAGTTAAACAAATAAGTGACTTTTTTGTGTAAAATGTTAGAGGTTATGACTTTAGAGGTATACCAGGTTCAACTCAGATTTTCCATGATGTCTCAAGTTCTCTATCCCATTATTTTGCAGTGTGTCAAAGCAGAAAATAAAGTCATTTTTCATTTCTGAGATGTTCCTTGTAGAGAGAGTTGTGTCACACTGTAGGACAGGAGTGGGAGACTAAAGCAGAAAGAGAGGAAGGGAGAGACTAAACAAGAGGGAGGTATGATTTGAGGGATGGGCGGTAGGGCACAGGATAAATGGGAGAAAAAACCCAAAGAGGTCAAGGGAGAAAAGGAAAAAGCAGCAGGGCAGAAAACACAATATTTCATTCCCACATACAGTACTGTTGTATTATGACACTATCTCGCACTTCCACCATACCGAGTTGCATTACAACAAAAAGTAGAACTGCACTGACAATCCTTTAAAAATAATTTATCCTAATTGAGCCTCAGATATTATTTTTTTTATATTTTCCTCTCACCAAGGCTTGAATTAAGTGGATGTCCCAAAGCAGACTGCCATATGGTATATAGCAAATTTGTTATGTTGATTGATTGCTCTTACCAAGTACAATAGAGCAAAACATGTCCCCAGAAATAACAAACCCTGCTCAGCTTAAACTCAATTTCAATCTGAAGCTGACTCACATTTGGTGAGAAGACAAATAACAAAAAGCACTGAGGCATTATGAAATACAACACAAATGCTACACCCTCCAGAAGTCAGACAGCATTGTTTCCCTACAGTACAGTGATCGCAGTGGCCCATCCTCTCTAGCAGCCTGCCTAAATGAGCGTTCTCATTGTATCAGCTCCAGTGCTGAATACTGGCATCTCCATGCTGTTTCAGGGGCCTTTGCAGCTCGCTATCAGAAGGTTTAGTGATAACAAAACAAACATCGTTAGACAATGAAGAACAGTGATAAACTACTGGTCAAATAGACAGACAGGCAAAAATAAAGGGGTGATCACTCTGAGCTGACCCTGTGTATGGAACAATGTATGTGCGTGCGATTCCATGTGTGTGTCCGTATGAGTGTCAGATGGACATTCAGTGTTGAGCAGGACACACAAAGACTGTGGCATAATAATATTCTCAAGTTATCAAAAAAACAGCCATGTAACAGAATGTATGCCATGGCCTCTGACAATCTGTGATCAATGTTTTCTATAGCTCTCTATAGACGTATAGATATATATTTATTTGTATTATATATATATGTAGATTTATAAAAAAGATTTGATTTTAATTACAAGTATTGGCATTTTCTTTTATATTCATTATTGCAATGAATTGTTATCTAAGATGATTAAAAAAGACAGGTGAGTTCTGTTTTGCTACGCAGTTATTTACAACAGTTTTAAAACGCAAGCTTTCTGATATGGTACCTTTACCCGGCCAGTGGAAAAGACTGAAAATCTCAAATGACAACCTAACTGCCAATTACAGTCATTTACCTTTAGAGACAATTGAAAATGATACCTATACTGTAGGTCAAGTTAAATGAAGTGCCCACATTATAGAATAGTGGTTCTCAACCTTATTATAGCACTTGAAACAAATGGTTTACTACTCTAGCCGTGAGTAGGAAACATGCAAAGAGTGATGAACTTTTATTTGCCTTTTCCATTGCCTGGATTAATTATTCAAGAAGACATGGAGGCAGAATTGGTTTCCATAATTAAACACAATATTCATTCCCATTTATTCTGTACATTTGTAATAAGGTCCCTGCATTCAGGTTGAGAAGCACTTTGTTAGGTAGCCATTTGAGATCTGCCCATGTGTTTTATTTTTTCTTTCCATCACTGAATATACAGTTTAAACCTCACCTTTTGCCCCTAGGCAAAAAGTAATGGACAATTTGCTATTTAGCAATTCTACTGTCATGACGATGCTATTGATGAAGGACTTCATTAATTACTACTGTTTTTTTTCTTTACAAACCCCTGTGAATAATGTGGTTGAGATTAGCCACATGTGTGTGTTTCGAGGTTACTTCTGTTTTGTATTGGCTGATTATCTCGCTGGTTTTGGGGGCGAGAAACTATTCTATATGCGTAGTAAGAAAGCATATTCATTCAGTTTGAACAGTCAATGGCAAAGAAGGGGGGTTTGTACAGTCCAAACGTTCAAGCTTACAGTTTTCTGGTCTTCTAAGGGTGATAGTACCTGGCACTCTTTGCAGGCAAGTTAAGAGGACGTTGACCATGATGATGATGATGATGAAAACAATGTTTGTAGTCTTAGTAAGGCGTTGTCAAGGTGTGGGGCTCATTGGCCAACACTGTCCAACGAAGAAAGACCAGGAACAGAGTTGTTTGGTAGTCTTTTTTTCTTTTTTTACAGTCAGCTGCGATCACCATATTTGTCTCATCATCATCATGATCAGTTTTGCGGTCAGGTTCGAAGCTCATAGTTCATTTCACAAAAGTCTGTGCTGGCTTTCCTGTCATGTGTCCTCCCAAAAAACAATAGAATGAATGCTGCAGGCAAGTGTGAACGTCATTGTTGTCCTTTGCTTTTTTCTCCGCTGCTCACTCCATAGTTGAATTTCACTTATCTCTTGTAAAATAAGTCAATGGCAGCAGGAAAGTGAGATGATGATGCGCAGTCTGTGATTCTGTTTTCAAGTGTGTATAAATGTGAGCTTTGAGTATCTGTTATTAAATGCATGTATTTGTGTGTGTGTGTGTGTTATGCAGGATATTGGTAAGTGTGTGATTGCGTGTGGTTGTGTGTATATCCTTGTCCAAGTCTCTATGTTTGTGTGTCGTTAAGGCACGGCAGGTGTTTTTGGTTTTCAGGGCAGTCCGGAGGAGATCACTGCAAGGCCGGGGTGTCGGAGGGAGGCGTGGCCAGCATGCACAGCTTTGGGGCAGTCTGGCGTCAGGACGCGGCCATTCTCCCCCACACTTCCTGTGATGGACAGACGGGCCTTATTCCGCATAGCTTCAGAAAAAGAAAGCTACATGAAGATAGGTGAAGAGCAGAGAAGAGGTTGGAGATAGCAGAGTAGAGATTTAGTTTGAAAAAAATCACGTCATTAGCACAAAAGACTGCAATTACAAACTTGCGTAAAGACAGATAAATACAGGAACACATGCACACAGAACACTTATTCATGCATGTGCACACACTGAACACACAAGTATGCTAACAGTTAGAAAGGTCTGAGGGTGCAATCACACACATAGTCAAAACAAGTTTTGCTATATGCATTCCAGTCGCTTTTTGGGTTGAGCCCCAGAAAAAAGAAAGCACATATGTTCAATCTGACGCAATCTGAAGCAAAAAAAGGCAATGTAATGTCTGAAAACTTTCTGAAAATTGTGTTGAGTCAGCCCTCCTTAAAGCCATGGTAGACACTTTTTTTCTGGGACCATAGAGAGCCCAGGGAGGTGAGTGCTACATCAAATGTATATTGTTTCGGGGTGAGCAATCCCTTTATGCCTTGTGTTATTAAAGACATTTCCCCCAAAACAGCCTAAAAAAGTATTTTCAGATATTTTTGGTGCACTACTTTGTTGCACTCTTCAAACTAAAATAATTACTGGGAGAAATGCATATGACTTCTTGAGTGAATGCACCCCAAACCACCACACATTCAAATCTCACTAAAACACAGTGCAAGTGCTGTGGTAAATAACTTTCACTTAAGGCAAAATGAAAAGTAAAAGCAGGCAACAATCGACAAACATGTTCAGAGTAGACGAGAGGATTTGGGTTGTAGACATCTGCATTTCATAGGTGACCATGCATTTCTTGGTTTCAGTTATCCAAAAAATAAGGGTGAGGATTTGAAAGGATTTGGAAGGTGAGGAATTTGAAAGGATTTGGAGGGTGAGGAATTTGAAAGGATTTGGAAGGTGAGGAATTTGAAAGGATTTGGAAAGTGACAACTTTGGGAAGACAAAAGGGAAACATTGAGGAGTGTCAGATTTATAGAGAGGGATTGAATGATTTTACAGCTCAGAGTAGGGCAACACTTCAAACAGACCGGCAACTCTGTGATGATTCCCATTCATATCTACAACAGCCAAAAAGCTTTTTTGTAATGATTTAAATGGCTTTTGCTTCTGCTTTGATTGGGACACATCTTAAAATGTCTCCTCTTGAAGCGATTTCCACAGAAATCATTGACAAAGTAGAGAGAATGATCTATGTTAGGAAATAAAACATGGTTTTAGTTTAATCTCTTTTCATTTTTACAAAGAAGACAATATCTGAGAAAATACATCTAGATGTAGTATTTTTTATCTAAATGTCTTTTTGCTGTTTGGTAATTCATTGCCAGAAACAGCCAAACGTTTGCCCTCTTTCTCTTTTTATGACTGCTCTCATGCTGATGTACTTCACCTTAATTAAAAAAAGACAAAACATGATACGGACTGCTCTAAAGAAACTTTACAGTCCATTCTCAAAAATGGTTTACCGGTTAACATTAAACTTCATGTAAATATATGGTTTTGGACAGATATTAGCTCATATTTAGAGTCACGTCTTGCTGTCTTTATTTGTGCTTACTCTGTAATTATCAATGACCTTACAATGCCTCTGAATGGTTTGTAGAGCAGGTTTTTTTCACTCTAGTTAAGTGCTCTTTTACACCAATAAACATGTTTGTACAACACCATCACTAGGTAGCCGTTCTATATGAAGTGTTTGCTTCATCAATTATTCCTCTGCGTTAAAACTAAGTAAGTGGGCTGTTTAGAAGTTGTCAGGGGTTGAATAAGTCAGAGTGGCTGTTTGGACCTTCTATAACAGAGCTGCACAACTCCACTTTATGGACGACACTTTGAAGATGCAGTTTATGGAAAGGAAATAGTGCCAGCTCCACTTGAGCTGGGAAAGATCAGTTCAGCTGGGGAAACTGAAGCTATTATGTATGGATGAAGGTTTTTGCACTTGGGTTTGCCATAATTAATTTAGATTCACGTGTATATTTCTAATACTTTCTGCCTAATAAACATTTGAATTAAAACACAGATTAAATGTCAATCTATGAGTGCATATGAGGTAATCAAAACAAATCCACTCCTAGTATTTTGATTAGCTTCCAGAAGTCAAGATAAGTAGGTTCTACTTTTTCGTAATTTGGGTTTGACTAATAATTAGAAGTATATTAGACAAGATTCTGGGATTTCAAACTCACTAACACAATCATCGCACAATAAAGTACCGTAATTAAAAAACTGCCTGAGTATGAATTTTATCATAATGGATAAGATTAAATCAGTATTTCAGGGGGAATGTTTGAAACTTTGCTTAAGCTGTCAGAAATGCTGTCTCATCCTAAATTGGTATAAATTGGTCCAGATTTCAAGAGTAATTTTTCCCTTCAAAAACAAGTCAATGCACGTAAGCTCATGCCTATATGTTTTTCTGACTCACAGTGGTGCTGCAAGTCTAGTTATAGTAATTATAGTGGACAAACACTATTTTATTATTCCTGGGATATCTATCAGATTATGAACTGAAAAGTTTTATTCAGACCCAAATCTGTGCTAATTGGCGTCCACACTTTAACTTATTAATTTGTAGCCAGAAGCATTTAGAAGATTTTAATGAGGAACACTCAGTAACTTTAGCTCTTAGGGAAGTACCGAGACCAACACTGCAATCTATAAATAGTTTAGCCAAGATGAAATTGAAATATGTGTTTCAGGTCTATTATTAAAACACTTGAAACTTTTATAACGTCACGTTTTTTAATTTATTTTGTCTCAATGTGAGGATTTTCTGCTTTTTCTTTGACTAATGTGATGGTACAATGAGTTGTATTTGGTTTTAACTTTTGTTGAAAAAAACAAGCAAGTAAGTTAGGTATTGCAGCCCTATAGAGTATATAAACATTTATTTACTTCTACACTAGCCCCTGAGAATGGAGTTGTGCATCCCTGCTTTTTCAATAATTTGTTAGCTATAAGGTAAAGAAACAATGCAAGTGCCTAGTTAAGTAATGAGCCATGAGCATGACCAGCAATGTCACCATCACCACCATCTTCATCATCATCATATTCATCATCATCATCATCACATGCAGCCAAAGATGATGGAACCAAATTTGTAGTCACATAAATCAAACCCCAATATATGCAGGGGAGAACTGCTATAGAATGAAGACAATACAAATTTGAACCCGAAAAATATCTAAATATTAGCTAAAATAAGCTTTGGTAAAACATCAAAAGCTACATTGGTTCCACAATGCTTGACCACATCCTCATCACCACATGAAGAACAACACGGTTGCGTGGGGCTGCTGCGTCAGCCTCTACATCCACAATACAGTAATCTACAGCACCACCACCATGATCAACACCACCATTACCCCACCTATATGGGAGCCTCTAAATCCTACCCCTATATCTTGACCCCCTCGGAGCCGTACACGTTGTACCCCTCCCTATAAGTGGCTAGATTCTGGGTGCTGGGGGAGGGGCTTGGGCAGTGGGGGGGGCTAAGGTCCACCTTCATGCGCTTGGCTTCGGCCCGTGACTTGTAGCAGAACTCGACCAGGGCCACCAGCATGGCCAGGCCCAGGCCGCCCACCAGGATGTAGAAGACCCCCGCCACGTTGGACAGGCTCAGGGCCTGAGACGACTTGTCCTGGAGAGAGCGAGTGTGAGGAAGTTTTGGGTAGAGAGGGGGACGAAGAAATAGGAAGGTTGAGGTAAATGAGGCAAAAGAGAGGTGACGTTTAGAAGAAGGGGGAAAGAAAAAAGAGAAGGAGGAGACCAGAGCAGGATCATGATAGAGTATGTCGTTTAGGTAGATGCATGAAATAGACGACGTATGATAAAGGAGAGAAGAAATGCAAGGGGGATAAGAGAAGAGAGGGAACATTTGAGAGATAGGAGAATAGGAGAAAGAATGGGAGTGAGAAAGCAGGAGAGGGAAGTTAAGGAGTTGTTTGGAGTGACAGAAAAGAGGTGGGAAAAAGCAGACAGAGACAAAAAGGTACAGTGGGTTAGACACAAGCTGAAATTATCAGGAGAAAAATCATTTAGTGACAAAATCTGATACAGTTATGTTATACAGTATTAATCTACTATTATACACTACTGACATTACATTTGTTTTAATGCTTACTGTAACTATGAATGATCATACAATTACATCTATTACAACTACAATTAATACTACTATCAACACAACAGATACTACATACTACACATCTTTAACAATCAATACAACTACAGTACATTTTACATTACTACTACTTCAACAGAGTTACATGATATCAAAGCAGCTTGAATCAACAGCTAATATAAGTCAAAAAGAGCGGGATTTAATCTGAACGGTGATGACATTTTACTAAAGTTTGAATGGGATTTAAGGGCTCTAATTTCTTGTTTGTTTCTGTATGGGGTATACATTAGCTGTAGCACTTTAATAGAAAATGCTTATTAATAGTAATGCTTTATGTCACAGGTCCATTCTTTTTTTTAGGAGACCTAATAGAGAAAACTACATTTTATATTTGTTTTTAAAAACAAGGAATATGGAGTAATGCAGTTAATAGTCAACATTGAGTCAACTGTGTCAAGCATATGAGCAGCTTTGGAGTTCCAGAAGAAAGGACTGCTCAACTTAAACCTATGCAATTATTAATTCAGTATTCATTTATTATTAAAAAAGTAGTATGTTCTCCATATACTGTATGTTAAATTGAAAGCTTGTTCGTTGACACAATTCACAGGAATTTTCAGCTGGCCGGCTGTTCACTGAAGTCTTTACACATTTATTCAATCGCATTAGCTTAACAATAAGAACGTTCTTCCACAAAAAGGATATTGAAAAAATTGGAACCTGAAACATGAAGCTTTACCATGTTTTCCTCCAACTGATGGAGATAAACAAATAGCCTTGTCCTGATTAAATCTTTAAGAAGTTGTAAAAGCTAAATGAACAGTGGTATTATTTTCCCTCAAAATGCTTGCGTATGAAAATAAAAAGAGTGAAAATTCGCTATCGATCATCTTAATTTACATTGTATTGTATAAAGCTAACTGTAATAAATATGGGATTGCCACAGATTGCTACATCAATTGAGAATTTTAGTTTATTCCATGCATATTTAGGTAAATGTGTCAGAATCAAAAGGGAAGGGAACATGTTGTAGGGAATCCCTTAATGGGTAGTTAAGTCTACTATGGAGCATATTCAACATGTGTTTCAGGCTAGCATATTAAAGGTGAGAGTTTCAGGCTAGCGTTCTGAGGGCCGCAGCAGCGTGAGACTGACCTTACTTCCAGAGTCCTTGGGTCCACACTCTCCCTTGTCATACCACCATTTGTTTTTCAGTTTGTCTAAGACGCCTGCTTCGCTCAGTTTCAAAACTGCAAGGTTTACCGGGGTTCTTCGCGTGTAAAAATAACATAAATAACATCATAGGACATGTTATTTTATGTTATTAGAGTATTTCACATTTGCATTGCACAGCTCAGTTACATAGATAAGCACTGTTATTCACATCAAGTGACCTAGCATGGATCCCACTGAGTACATGTGTGTATGCTCGTTGAGGAGGGGCTGGGGGGAGCGAGGAGCTAATGCGAGCTACAGACATATGAGTGGGACCAACCTTTGTCACGACAGGTAACACACCCATGCTGCCCCAGCTGATCCTACACTGAGCCAGAGGCAAGTACTGTTAAGCCAGGACTAATGGCGTCAGGCTCGCTCTGTGCTACAACCGGGAGAGAGACAGACCCTTGAATGTGTAGCTGAGGAATCCCTAAACTCTACGGACTTTGAAGGCAAAAGGAAGCTGTCTTGTTACGGGTCTGATCCTTTTTTATAGATAGCAGATAGCATGTTGCTTCCGTAAATACAAATTACTTTGTAGCGCCGATATATTATCCTATATTGTGTTATCCTAATTCTAGTAAGGCTTTGGAATTGTACCTCTTAGGGGATTTTATATATTTCAAACAATACGGGTATACTTGACTCTAAGTGTTCCACTTTTATAAAAACACTAGATGTACAATGTTAACAAGAACAATCATTAAATTACAACTCTGCCAAGACGTAACAAGAGGTAACAGGAAGTGTTTCAGTACTTTAAAGTTACAAAAGAGTGATATAAATATTTGAATATTTTACACAATAGGGAAAGCTTAAATGAAAAAGACTACATAGAGTTGTTTAAACCTAACAAACGAACAAGAGATGTAGGAAACTTATTTTCATGCGGTAATTTCATTCTGCTGCTATCAATTATTCAGCGTCCCCTCCGCCTCAAGTCAACTTGAGCCTAAAAGAATCTGAGAGCTACAATTACACTTGGATCTCGTTTTTCCATTAAACGTTTTAGAACCTATTTCATCTGCCATGTACCCGACAACAGACCCTCAGCTGAAGGAGTCATAACGTTCAGTTTGGTGTGTCTCCTTCTCCACACTCTTCTCCCCAGAGCTGCCACTAGGGGGCGAGTATTCCTGCCTTGACAGTAATTGCTCTCTTTATCTTTCCACCTTCACTCTCTGTACTTTCAAAGGGCCATTACCAGATCAGTGCCAAACACATTTTGAAAATTGTGATCATGAGGTTTGCTTGATTTATCTTGGCAGGCACTAACCCACAAATGGGACATATTTCCCTGCATGATATTGAAAATGCAATGTTTTTCCTGCTAATGATTCAACAACAAATGATATTGGTTCCCTTTTGGGTTCACCAATTTGTTTCTTTAAAAAATTGAAATATTACTTTTTCTGTGTTTCAGCAAGCTCAAGTGTTGGACCTTTGTCACTGGGTCTGAACCTTTTTTATAAAAAGGCACACACCACTGACAGCAGATGCAACATTGTGGCTGTTTTTTAAGCTGCAGGGTGTCCCAGGAGAATTAGGGTGTCATTTGATGCTCGACTCCTCGCCAGGGCAGATGCATGCGTTACACTCTTGGGACAGGGGCCGTCGCGGGCTACATAGCCGGTGAGCGGCCCCTGTCCCCCCAGTGGTGGGGTGGTCAGACAGAGAGGGCTAACCTTGGAATCCCCTCCCCCGCTGCCACATTCTCCTTTGTCATACCACCACTTGTTTTTCAATTTGTCCAACAGGCCCTGCTCGTTGAGCTTTAGCACGGCCAGGTTAACCGCGTTTCTTTAAGTAAAAAAGGAGGGGACAGATAAGATTGGTCAGAGCAGAGGATGGAGGTTCAAACAAACAATATGGACGTGTACCACAGCCAGGAGGAAGAAGGGGAGGGAGACAAGGAGGAGAGGGAGCAGAGGGGGGAGAACTCAGAAGGGAGGATGGGACAAAGGTGGGTTAGTGGGGAAGAATGCACCCCAGACAACGCTCTCTCTTACTCTTTTCCCTTCTTTTGGCTACAGTTACTTTCTTAAATGTTTAACAGTTTTAACTCTTTTGCTTTTGTTAAAAATAAGTTGTACGGTATCTTTCCTCTGTTGCTCTCGTGTACTGGGCTGCTGGCTGCACTACACAGGATGCTCTACGCTGAGCGTGAGATTGCTGGTACAAAGTGGTGTTAACCAGGTCTTTGCAGCCTGCTGATGGTGCTCTTGTCCCCTCCTGTCCTGATGCTCTCCTGCCTGCCAGCTTATGTGTGTGTGTGTGTGTGTGTGTGTGTGTGTGTGTGTACGTGTGTGTGTGTCTTTACATATGTATTAGAGACATCCCGTGTGTGTGTGTGTGTGTGTGTGTGTGTGTGTGTGTGTGTGTGTGTGTGCGCGCGCGCTTGAGTTTCCTACAACACCCCTGAAGGAATTGACCTCTAATCAAAATGCAGGGACACAGGGCTAAACATCATGCGGCATTCATGCTGTGCGTGCACAGGTGTTCAGCCAAGCTCTTGATATCAGGCATTTTGTATAAAGCTCTTAAAAATTATACTATATTTAGCTGACACACACAATGACAATGCCCTTTATAAGACCAACAATGCAACAGCATGAGACATAGAGAACCAGCAGTTTTAATTTGCCTAACATTTCCCTATTCCCTGCAAATGTATCTCGTTTGCTGCTCAATATGTGGCCTGTTCCCTTACTGTGATTTCTGAAGGAGTGTGTACAAAACAGCTGCAGGGGCTAAATGATTTTTAAATTTGTTTCCTGAATGCCCTTTATTCATTTTGTCCTACGTCTCCTGCTTTGGTACCTTTATGCTTTTTACAGCCACCTGTAAAAGACCTTCCTGTCAGTCTTTTCTACTGCAACCACCGACCGCTGACTATCCTTCTGTTTGTGAGATGCTGTAATCAGCTGGAAAATCTCTTCCAAAAAGGTCACTGCAGTCGCTGCCTGGTTGTTTGTTAGTATGCCCCTCTGTCTGTACACCTGCCTATCTGGAGGTATCTCAACGCAGCATGTTGGGAGACTGCGGGTAACAGATGGCTTTTGACTGGAAGGTTCTCAGTTCAGGACAAATTAGGAAAGCAATAGTAATAGTAAGCTAAGTAAAGATTGTCAAGAGATTCAGAGAGAGACAGTGTTATCTGGGGGATCTTATATACAAGCCATGACTAATCTCATCAACGTAAAAGGTATGGATGAAAACAGTTCAAACATCTTTGCCAGTCATGAAAACAACAGTCAAATACCAATAATTACATCAAAAGCAGCTATACCTTCATACATTTCTAATCATCAGGGTATTCATTATCCTCATCAAGTGAAATTAACGCTGTAATTATAGTACACCGAGAGGAGGGGCAGGCTCACCTGATGTGCACACTTTCCTGCCACATGTGCGCTCCTGGTAGGTCGGGTTTTCCGCTGATTGAGAGAAGCCAGAGACAACCGTGGATAGTCCCAGAAATGTTGTCTGGAGGGGGCTTAAAAAAGGGACCTATCCACCCGCTGTCTGTCACTTTTCCCTCATAAACGGAAAAACCTTTGTTTAAATAACAAGGGATAGACTACAGTGACTGGGGTTTGTGAGACTTGTTTGCACCACACACAGGGGAAAAGTTATAGGACAGGATGTGAGGCTGATGTGCTGTTTTTTTTTGCCTTTCATAAGGCAAATCTGAAATGCTGACGGAGAGAGAAGGAGGGAGAGAAGAGACAGCAAGTGGCCCAGCTTTGCTGAATTTAGTCAATTATTTTACCTCAGCAGGCATTTGTAACATCGTGCTGTCAGAGTCACCTGAAAATGAATTATTTGCATTGACAGAATACCTCAGTGAAACCTACTGGGACTGTTACTGTCGGATCAAGTTAACAGGCCCGATAAACAAATGTCTGCTGAGAGAGAATCACAATAAAAGGACCAACTATGGAACTCAAACTTTCTCATTCATTCCCTCCAGCTTATGCTCTCTTTATTAGGATTTATTTGTGTGCAGTTTTAACAAATTAACTAAGGATTACTCCATGATCAGAGTTTAATTTGGTGTCTTTCCAATTACCATTCATATTTGTTTCATTTAGTTTGTTTAAAATTGGCTGTGGGATCCTGCATTATGTTTAGTTTCTAGTCCCCCCATTGGCCGTGCCCCTCTACTTCCTGTTTCTCACTTTTTGTCTCCTGATGTCTATAAATTCCCCCTCACGGCTCTGGATGTAGCGGCATCAGTCTGAGGTTCTGACCCTCCTCGCGGTCATATTCATTTAATAAACCTTTGCTATAATAATCATAACCATCATTGTCATCATTATCATCATCATCTCCATCATCATAACTATCATGACTACCATCTCTGGGGATGAAAGGAACAAAGAGACAGGACAACAGACGGATGGACAAAGTTACCTGTAAGGTGGCCCTGGGGAGAAATAGAGCAGTTAAAAGAGGATAGAAAGAAGGGATGTAAGCAGGAAGGGACAGACAAAGGACAGAGGACACAGAAATGGAGCTAACAGGCCCTAAATTAACAGAGGTGGCAGAAAAAGGTGAAGAAAAAAAAAGACAGACGGACAGATAAACATGTGCAAAGTAGAGGCCAGAATGAGAAAGATAAAGAAATCAAGCAAACCATGATGAAACAAATGATTAGCATATTCAACATTCTCTTCTATATCGCTGCTGCTAGGTGAAAACAGTTGCTTTAACTTGGGATTTTATAAAAGATAAATATATAAATTGTACTGATGCCATATTCTTTAGTAATTTTGATAAGAAATATCCAAATCGCTGGTTAACTCATTTGACATTTTGTGGGTGATTTTCACCTGACAGCAGTGACAGGCAGTACTAGGTGAAGTATAAAAGGCACAGCAGGGTAGGTGGAATATTGCAGCAATAGGACAGTATCAGATTTGTTACTGTCTTCTATTGTTACACTATTCCACCCACCTTAACTGTGAGCCTTTCGGTGTAGCAATCCCATATCCTTTGGAGTCCAGGTTTCCCCCGACTTTCATGGTGTCACAAGGCTTCCGCTGCTCCGTGTATTCGTTCATTGTTGACTCCAGGAGGAAAGCGTACTTTCCCTTGGACTTGCGGACCCTCGCCACGCCCTCTGCTGTGGTTTTGGCAAAGACTGACGGCTCGGCAGACTTCATAAACGACCACATCTTCTCGTATACGGCTATTTTGGACCTCTAGGGTGGAGGAAGGATAACAAAGGTGTGTATTAGGAATTAATTGGCATCATTTTAATAACATTGCGGTCCAAAACAGATTGTATAACACAGAGGAGAATTTTCCAAAGGGAAGACCATGTAAGTTGGAACACTTACAAATGAACTAATTAGATTAAAAAAAATGTGTCCCCCTTCAATTGTCTGTCTTTTTAGATAAAAAGAATACTGTGGATCGGTAAGGTCTCAAAATCAAAGAACATAGAGTAAGATGTCAGGCTATTTGTGCATTTAGACTAAATTAAAGCATGCATTTAAGTGACTCTGTGAAACACAATTAAGGAAACTTGAAAGCTGTCTCATTGAAGGTAGAACATTCTGTTTTTGGGCTGTGATTTAATCCTGCGAACAAGTTTGTGAAAACAAACAGCCCATTCCTCTGGGCCATAGACAACTATTGTTGTATACATAACTAGTGGAAATACATCAGTAAGCAACACATCCACAGTGGGTGTCATGTTCCTTCATTAACATAAACATCACTTTTGTATTTTGGTGAGTCAATCAAACAAAGTCCAGGAGCGGCAAATACTCTATAGCAAAATGTGCATTAATCCACCACCAGAATTAGTCAAATTGTAATAATGTATTCATTATTAAATACAGTTAGCTAGAAACTACAATGTCAAGTGCTTTAAAACTATTATAAAAATGTAAACTGTTTGAAATCATTTGCGTCTTGAATAGGGATTCATAGGATTGGTAATGAGATCAACCGACAGGGTAGATACACTCAAAGTACTTGAAACATGCATTGTTGTTTTTTTTATGACGATAAGAACAATACATAACGAGGCAGCCTCATTATTTAGGAATGCGTTGTTATTGTTTACGCATCCATGCTCTGTGTCTACTTCTGGGTGTCCATTCACACCTCACTGAAGTGTTATCAGCTCCTCCAACCACAGATTTGATTATTCAAATCAACTTGCCATGCTCACTGAGACAGATAGGACAAATATGAGATGTTAATATGAGAGCTGAGGAGGTGAAAACAATGCTACTCATTATGGTAACACAGTGACACTTAATGCTGTTTATTGATTATCCACAAGTTCTTCTTCTACAATAGACACAATACGGTTCGGATATTGAAATGCAAACTGCACTATTTGTTTTAGATATTTTAGTGCATTTCATTTTTTTCTCTCTTTTGATGTAGAGCTAACCGCTGACGCTGATTTTCCATCTTAAAGTCCTTGAATAAAATTACAATGCTGATGGACTGCTGTGTCTTGCATCTTACATTTTGATCCTCTGGCGCATAATGACATTTATAACTACATTTCAAATGTAACACTACATCTCTCTTGACAAGTCGAACATTTGTCTTACTTAAAATGGGCTTATGACTGGCAGAGTGGCATAATGATCCGGTTGTGGCGTTATGAATGTGGTCACTGGCTCTAACAGAACAGCTATTCCGAGGACATCTGTCTGGTATGAGACAATAGATTGCATTATTTTGTGTATATCCCATGCATATGTGTGTGTGTGAAGTTCTTTGCACCAGTCTATGTAAGTGTGAATTTATGTGTTGTAATGTGTGTGTGGACTGTGTGTACTCGAGAGTGAAAATAACAAGCAGAGGAGTCAAACTGTCATCCTCCACCAGCGAGCTGCTTCTTTCTCCTCTTTCTCTCCTGGTGATTAAGTGTGATTTTGTTGCTCTGCAAGAGACAAGCCACGGCCTCATACTGAAACCAGCGCCCTAAAGGTGGTGTGTACGTGTGTGTAAGCGTGTTACTAGTGCGTGACGGACACCTTTCCCATAATAATGTCACTCTCATCTATGAGGACCAGCCGGCCCATCTTCTCTCCACCTTGTCTCTTTCCCCATTCTTTATCTTTTCATATTTTACTTATAAAAAATAAAAAACTCCATGCTGTCCCTTCAGCCCTTCTATCATTCTCATTCAATAAGTGTAATATATCTGCTCATCTTTCATTTAGTTTGCTATCGGCCGTTGCTTTTGTGCATTGTGTGTATGCATTTGTATCTGCCCGTGTGTGTGTTTGTGTGTCAGAGAGAGTGAGACAGAGAGAGGGAGAGACAGTGATGATGATGACTGTGCACATATAAAGCAGCGCCTGGCCTCGGAGGGATGGATGTGTGACAATGCGGTGTGACTCTTTCCAGATTCTTTAACAATGAGTGAGGTTGAAGGAGGAAATGGATGCTGCAAGTCACCTTCAGGCGTCCACACTATGGAGAACACTATAGTATATTTAACACACACACACAAATCTGTTCTTTGTGAGAATCGCCGCACACACACACACACACACACACTAATATGCACATTTACACGCTTACATATGTGGCTGGATATGCATACATGCATGCTTACGTACACACAAAAATACACACACACACACACACACACACACATACACACAGATAATTAATGGTGGTGGCGTATCCCCCTCAGCTGTGGTAGAGTAAATTGCTTTTTCACCCTCCGCAGATTTCAGCCCGCTCGTTATGTTGATGATGCCAGAGCCGCTCACAGAAGCACAAACTGTCTGTTACAACCCCCCAACCCCCCCAACCCCCTCTACATCCCCAAATACACACTCTAGCGCACACATCTTTACAAAGCATAACTGTAAATTGGTATATACACACACACACACACACACACACACACACACACACACACACACACACACACACACACACAATGCTTGAGCACACAAACAATTCTGAATATTCCTACAGAGCATGGTTATGAGACAGAGCAGATCTGTTTTTGTACATGCGGTGACGCTGGTGTTTTGCGCTTGTCTTCATCAGCACTGTTTGAATGTGTGTGTTTCTATGTTTGAGTGTGTTTACGAGTCCTTTTGTAATTGAAATCCAAATGGGTGCAGAGGTCAATGGGTGAAGCCACTACAAGATTCATCTGGGCCGCTTCACTCTACTCAGCTTTAATTTCCTGCTAACTATCTTACAGTCATATATCTACCTAAGGAATACAGCTCTGTCCACCTCCACCACTTTTTATTGTTTGCATTATGATTATTATTATTGCTTTGTTTTACAGAGTAAGGAAGTGATTCAATGCAGGGGTTGATAGACAAAAAATGCCCCTTTGTATTTGTGTGAATCTTACTTCAAAATGTATGAATTAAAATCCCACGCTGCACCTCCAAAACCTAGTTTTATATAATGCTTGAAAAGTTAAAGCCATGAATTTCAGCTAAGCGTCACTTCCAAAATGTAAGCCTCTCTCAATTCAAGTTCAGGAGAAAGCCATCCATTCAATCTCCTCCTCCCACCTGGACTATTGTAAATTGGTTTACACCGTCATTAGTCACTCGTCCTTGTCCCACCTACACACAGAGCAGATTTCTACTGTTTAGCTTTTGTCAGCTTCAACAAATGAGCGACAGAACCTCTCTCGCAGTTTCTTTCTCTTAGTGACTGCCCTTTCATTTCAGAAGTGCCTTAGAGATTGTTTGGCTTGTTTTTAAAGCTTTTAAAGTTCTACATGATCCAACCTCCTGAACCGCCACTGAACATTTCCCCCTTGTACCCTGTTTACATCCAATTTCTATGCTGTAAAGTGAGCAATATTGCAATAATGGTTGGAGTGGGGGTGATGAATGATGCAAGGCACAGTGGTATGGCATTGTTCCCCTCCGAGGTACACAACGACATGCATCAACACATTTATATAACAGTCATTTACAAATAAATAAAGACCATAAGCAATTTGAAAATTGACATCCACTTCCCTAAAGGCACCCCGTGGAATTTACGCTCAATACTACCTACATTCAGTGTTTCTTACATCCACCCATGTGTTTGTCCTTGAGGTCTAGAGAATGCATTTGTTCACCAGGAAACCATTTATTTGAAAAATGAAACCAAAGGTCCGTAAACCCGAATGGTTTACGTCTATGTTTGTTAGATTGCTGCCTTCTTCTTCTACACGAGGTATTTTAACACACTTCTTCCAGCAAATGTCAATGAAGTGGGATATTGAGAAACCAGTGGGACAGAGGAATGTTGAATCTTTGTTTGCTAAACGGGAGAAACTCATAAATAATTGTGTCTTCTATGCAATACTGGTCAAACAGTATTTTTTGGTATCTCCTACATTTTTGGATAGGATAATTGTGTTTTTATTCTGTTATTAATCATGACAGGAATGGTATCCTTGAAACTGGAGTTGAAATCGGTTGTGCACACTGCTTTGGTTTTTAAAAAGGTTACATTATTATCTGCAAGACCAGTAGGTCATCTGATCCTGATGTCTCCTAAATATTTAAGTCAATGAGTGTGAGAAGTCCTTACCCTGAAAAACTCCTTAGTAGAACCTGAGTCCAGTGTCCCGTAGGCTATCTCGGTCTGTTTGGCCAAGTCCTCCGCGCTCTCTATGGGGGAGACCATCCTCTCCACTGTGAGGAAAGCAGCTAGGTTGGCTGTGTAAGAGGAGATGATGATGAGGGTGAAGAACCACCACACACCTCCAACAATACGCCCAGACAGGGACCTGGAGAGAAGAGAGACAAAGGCGACAAGGGAAGAGAACAAGTCAAAGGGGAGTTAGAATTTGAGGAAAGCAGGAGAGATGAAAGGTTTTGGGAGATACATAAAAAGAGTAGAGGATGATAAAGCAAAAGATGAAGGTTGATGTTAAATGGGTGAAAGGAAAATTACAGAAACACAGAGGGGAAAACAGAGAAGGAAACATAATTAAGGTTATTTCCTGAGTCAGAGTTATGCAACACAACACACTGTCATTTTACAAAGCATTTTTCAAAACTCTGCATGACTGAAAATGACAGTACTGCCAAAGCAATTTTCTCTCAACCCTCGAACCGATTCAGCACAAAGAATAACAAAGGCTACATTAAACAGATTGTAATCTGGGCGGCCCTTCATCTCTCTCATCCTCATTCTCTCTTTTCTCTTTCTCCATGTTTACTCTCTTTATCTACCAATTGTGAGCTAAAGCATCAGAGTAAGTGGCAATTCATTTTGTTTGCACAAACTTGTTTTCATCGAGTAAATGGGAAGAGAGCAAGTGAGAGTGAGAACATTAAACAAAAGGAGAGAGATCTGGGATAAGGTAGCAACATGTTTTATTTTAAGCATTGCAGTTAATGAAAGACCTTGAAGATCTAATGGGCGCACAAAGCTACATCAAATATCCACGATTTAGAAAGAGCGAGAGAGGAAGTGGATTGGGTTTTCTGGGGAAGTATACTGTGAACGTATAACAATTCAGTTATTCTGTTATTCACAGAGAATAAAAGGAAACATGTTTCATAGCAATTCCTTTTCAGATCGTACCTTATCTTGGCATCTTTTTTATATTTGCAAGTCATTTCACAAAAAAAAAAACGAGCCAGTTAGGGTCTTCAACACAAAAGTGAATATCATGAAACTTTGTAAGTTGATATTCAAATCAAATCAAATCAAAGTTTATTTATAAAGCACATTTAAAAGCGATTTTTGGTCGGGCCAAAGTGCTGTACATGTAATAAATACTACAATCACATAAGAACACATTACTACAATCACAATAAAAGACAATAAATTACAACAGATATATAAAAAACACAGGGAAAAGTCAGGAGTCGTGCTCCGCTCTGACTAAAAGGCCAGGGAGAAGAAGTGTGTTTTAAGAGTAGATTTAAAAACCCCTAGGGTCTGGGCCGACCTCACATGGAGGGGCAGAGTGTTCCAGAGCCTAGGGCCAGCTGCTGCGAAGGCTCGGTGCCCTCTGGTTTTGAGCCTGGTCTTGGGCACTACCAGCAACAGCTGGTCAGCAGACCTTAAAGCTCTGGCTGGGGTGTAGTGATGGAGGAGTTCAGCTATATAGGCCGGAGCCAGCCCATTTAGTGCTTTAAAAACAAATAAAAGGAGTTTAAAATCAATTATGAACCGAATTGGAAGCCAGTGCAGTGAGGCCAGAATTGAGGTGATGTGGTCACGCTTTCTGTGGCCAGTGAGGAGACGTGCAGCTGCGTTCTGCACTAGCTGCAGGCGTTTCATTGATATTGAGTCATGTTACCAAACTGTTGCTTTTCTCAAAAATCCAACAGCATTAATCATTTTGAGTCCAGTTTCTGGTCACCTGATCCAACATGTTCTCCTTAAGGGCCAAGAGCTGCTCTTTGCTCATCAGTGAGTCTCTTACGTTTGGCTGTTTTTGGTGTTGGGCTTGTAGAGAGAATTTTTCAAGCTTTTTCGCTTTTAATGATGCTGAGAGCAGTGAGGGTGAACCAAAGCATTACAAATGTGAGCTGCAAAACAAAATAATGAGGTGAGGGATGACAAAACGCTAGAGCTGAGGTAAAAAGCAGAATTGAGGAATAATTATTAAAAGGTTTACCTACAAGTGAACCCTTCCACATTCACAAACCATTAACAATGGCTTTAATTTAAATACACACATATTGACTTTCATCCTCTTCAACAGCATTTGGTATATCCTCTTACGTGCATCATAAAAATAGCGCCCAGCATCGGACAGGAAGCAATTAGTTGATAGCACTGTGAGGTGAAAGCAGCGATAAATTAGATAGTGGACTGCGCTAGAGAGAGAAGAGGAGTGAGAGGAGTGAGAGGAGTGAGAGGAGTGAGAGTCCTGAGGTGCATTGACGCCTGACTCGGCATAAATTGTCACCTTTTGGAGCAACTCCGCATTCTGCTGCTGTTCAAAAGCCAGCAAACCTCTTAATCCTCTCAAGCACTCACACACACACTCAGGTGCGCACACACACACACGCGGATATGAATTGATAGCATGTGTCCTTGAGGCATTGATCTGTTTACCTGAATTAATGAACCTGGCATACACTGTGATGGATTCTCCGAAAAAGAGCTATAAGGTTTTGTTTTATACTTATTAGGAGACAGCAATTACTTTTTTTTCTCCCAACCAGGTAAGACCTCACAGCAATCAAATGGACGGATATCCAATATTGCGAACCAATATACACTTGCACTAACAATACAAATCTTTGTGTCAACATATGGAGTTATACAAACTTCAAAAAACTGTGTTAAATGCCTTTAAAATGTCTTTTTTTAAAGAGCCATTGATCGTCCTATGCGTACACCTTCCTGTATTGCAGTATTCCCTGCCTTGTGTTGGTTAAGTGTAATACTCCCATATTGTGCTTTTTGACAATTTCTTATCCAAAACTTGCCAAAATGATTCATCTTTTTGTTTTAGTTCAAATAGGATTTAGCTGGTATTAAGTAATGGGTTGTTTTAGTTGTATGTATGTGTATGTACAGTATATGGTTTTTGAAGTAGTTTATATTTGTACAATTCATTGAAAATAATGTAAGGCATTATGGTCATATGGATAAAGCCATTGGAATTCAAGAGAGAGAGAGAGAGAGAGAGAGAGAGAGAGAGAGAGAGAGAGAGAGAGAGAGAGAGAAGAAAGGGAGGGGATGGGGGGCGATAACTGGCCAATCCCTAGTGGGCGACCGCAGTGGAGTGTTAAGGGACCATCTCTATTTCTGTAGCCTGTTCTTTAGATACATTGAGTATTCCGGTAACACTTCACTTTAAATTACTCCTATTTAGCATTCATAAGCCAGTGTGTGGAGTATTCTGTCTACTTAAATGCACGAGTTATGAGGAAATGTGAAAATGAGCTCATTCTGAGTTGGCAGAGTGAGGTCACATTTTTAACTGGAGTTTGTCTGCAGAAAGACAAAGCTACAAACACATTTTTTTATGTGTGAAGATAAATGTCTGTTGTCATCTCATAGAAATGAACTCATCAACATAAAACTGCTTATCTAGCTGTTTGAAGTTATTTGTTTGACAGATGAGTTTCCTGAGCGCCATAAATTCACCTGCATCACGTGAATGTATACGGAGCACTTTTATATCAAATTTATTTAGCACAGCGACAACAAGATTAGACTCAAGGTTTCCTGAAATGTATCTTGCTCAACAGACACCGTCCTCTTATCTTCTAAACTTAAGTTCAGGTAAATGGTAAAACAGACGCTGATCAAATAAATCCAGGTGTAAACTAATCCATTAATGTTGCTATATCACATGATTAGGAGAGGCAATGTAGTATATGGCTTTTATGAGTTTGTAATCCAAGAAAAATGGTTCTTATGAAAGACAAACAGCCGACAGAGGAAATAATAAAAGGATTAGGTGAGGACATGATTAACTACAGGACTCTTTCTATGTTTCGCACTAGAGTTATGTGTGTGTGTGTGCGCCTGTACAGAATGTGAATGAAAAAAGGGAGAAGGAGGAAATATTCACCAGTGTTTGGCCTTGGATCGAAGTTGGAAAACATGTTTACCATCTGGAAAGGGACAGCGCATGCTTGAATCAATCAGGCCGCGTGTGCACCTTGGTGTACGTGGGTGAGCTTGGAGAGTGACGTCCTTGGTTCTTGTGGCAGTGTGAATGTGTGTGTAGCCTGTGTGGTGCTGTCATTTGTGTTGGTATGCAACAGTCGAATCATTCTATAGCGGGTCATGTATCATCTATGATAGCCAACAGATTGCCTCCCCAATCCTCTGTGTGAAAGATTAATGGCAAGCTGTTCCTCTACCTCTCACACACACACACACACACACACACACACACACACACACACACACACACACACACACACACACACACACACACACACACACACACACACAGTTCTCAGTTATATTGTTTATTTTCATCAAATGTATCTGATTGTTGATCACCTAACAGATTGTAGGTGGATAGTGGATTGCTTTTCATTGGGTGACATGGCAGGCTGAACACGACATGGCAACACAAAACAAACCAAAAGGAGCAAATGTTAACATTTTTGGTGTGGGGTGATGTTTTTTTTCATGCAAGCCAGAAATGTTACCCTGTAGTTCAATCATCAACTTCCTCAGATTATGCTTTTTGGCTGCTTACGAGAATGCCAGTAATCACAATAACAAGGGCACACAAACACACACATGCACACATGGCAATGCACAAACACATACAAGCACTTAAGTAGATTGATGCTGACACATCCAAACACAAAAATACAAGCAGACTCAAACAACTATAAACTGAGACAGCACTGGATAGCTGTTGTCTATGTAATGCAAGGACGTTTTTGAAAACAGGTTTCTGTCTTTTTATAGAAAATTCTCTCTCTGAGTTTTTTACACAGAAAGTCTTTCTGTGCTGAGCTGCAATAAAGGGGCAATAACATAAAGAGAACATTTTGTACTCTAAATTTGGAAGATACACGTTTGTTTTTCAAAACCCAGACTACTTGTATTGAAATATTGCTTTTTAAAAGCACTAGAATTTGTCCCACTTGCATTGGGAGCATTTTAGGAAAGTATCTTTTTAGGGCCAGTATGAAAAGGAGCAATGATTCCAGCAATCAAAAACTGCACATAACCTACTTGAAATTGTGAAACTTATAAACCTATAAACAAGTTGTTCAGATATTATAACACAATTCACAATGCAGTTTTACCTGTTGTGTAACATCTCACAAAACAAGGTAGTATTTTCCTTTATG